TTTTTAAATGCCACAGAAACAGATTATTTCCCTCTCTCTACTACTGTAGCAAGCAAGGAGATTCTCCTGTTCCCTGACTTATTTCTTTAGCTTCCCTACTCACTTTCTTGGGGAGCTGCAGGCGACTGGACCTTAATTATTCCCAAAGAGAAACCTGAGGGGCTGAGCTGGCCAGGGGGGAGCACAGAGCACACTGCCACCACTGCCCCTGCCTCTGAGTCAGAGCTGTGACACTTGTGGCTGCCAGTGTTACTCCAAGGCAATGCACTTATCCAATGGCATCATTCCAGTAGTGCTGAAGAGTACGTACTCCATATTTTCACACAATAACTGGGAGCGTGAATAAGTGAGGCAAACCAAGAATAGCTGTGCTTACTACTCAGAGGCAAACTCTAAAGTGTTCGGTAATAAATATTACATATAGCAAATGCCAGTTTGCTATTACTTCATCTATATTTACATGAATGCAGACCTGTTTAACACTATTCATGTTGTCTGTTGTGGACTGCCAAACGCATTAGCAATTTTGCACTATAAAATCTACAGAGCAAGCTATGTAGTCAATGTTTTTAAGCTGAGCATTTAGGGCTTTCATAAAGTGCACCAACTTATTGAAAGTTTTCTGGAAAGAAAACTCTCCAGTGTCAAAGAAATGCAGAGCTGAGTCTAGTTTTTTTTTGTGTATATAGCTCCACTTTTATTTTTTCCGTATCAGACTAGAAAAACAACCCATTATATGTGGCTATTTCCACTTAATTCAAGGAATAGTACAGAGGGATTGTCCTTACAAAGTTTCTAAACTTTCTAGTTTAACAAATGCTTTCTGTAGCACGTATAACCCACTTTCAATCATCACTGATCAGGAGCCTCTTATAGTTTCCGTCTTAACAAATCAGGTTATGAATTACAAGGTCATCTTCTCAGGTTCAGTCCCTAGACACAACCAAGGTTACTGGGGTTTTTGTAAACACTTCAAATGGAAAAAACTGAGGTCTAATTTAGTTCAGTACAAACCCACTTTGATATAAGTGAGAAAAAAACCAGTGAAAATTAGTCTAAATTTTCTAAACCATCAGAGGAGAAGAAAAACTGTAATTTTCATCTTACTAAATCATTCAGAGATGACAGCATTTATCCAGGTTGTAGAAGACCTGTTTCACACCTATTTTCTGTATTAATCAGAAGAACAGTGAGGGACCACAGTCCCTCACTTCACAGTTGAACAAGTTAATCAGTACACCGTAGGATATTCTAAGAAACGTTTCCCTCATCCCTGCTGGTTGGAACCACTGTACCAAGGTAGATAAATATTATAAACTCATCATAAGCGAGAACAAGAACGGGAGGACAAGGATGCCTGGTGGCAAGGGGTCCTGGGGCAGTGGGTGATGTGAATTCAGTCATCTTGGAGAAAAGGTTTGCGCTTGAGCATCCTGACATCCTGGATTAATTTGCAAGCCTCAGAACTTCCAATCTAATAGAGAATATAGATCTAGCAGTGACATGTTTTACTTTCATACCTGACCCGACTTGACAGACTCCACCCGGATTCACAGGTAGTAGTTTGAGGAAAAGCAAAACCACAGTTTTCATTTCATAGCTTGCTCCATGAAAAAAGAATTGCCCTCTTCTACTAACGCTTCACATCCAGAAATCCTCATTCCTATTTCTAGCTCACAGCTGGTTTATTGGGCCTGCCTTGCATCTCTGGCATCCTGCTATTCTGGTACTTTTGCCCTGAGATTAGCACGATGAAAATCGGGCACACCTGCAGGGCGTAATGCTCCAGTGTTTGTGCACAGAACTGCTGGTTTATCAGTAACGCTGCTCTGAGAGGGATTATCAGAGAGTCACCTTAGTGCCTCCCAGCCTGTCTTTACTTTTTCCCTTTTTGTGCTATATTCTCCTCACATCTGTCTGCAGCTTGCTATTTCTCTCCTTATAGCCACCCGTTTACATACTCTTGACCACAGCCAATTCCTGATCTGTGGGCTGTTTAAGCTCCCATGAATGAACGTAGTTATTGCAGCTTGCCAGGCACTGTGACTGGGAAAAAGCCTGGCTCTCAGAGGTCCCAGATGTACTACCTACTCTCTACAGTCTCTTTTATTAACATAGGCTCTTTTATTAATATGGAACTTCCTATGGAATCATCATGTGATTATCATGTATAATGTTATCATGTCGAATGTTGTTTTATAGATCAACCTGCTTAGACAACACACAAATCACACTTCAACATGCTATGGCAACACCACCATGCAAAATATAGGGGTTTTTGTTTCAAACATTGGGATAGTTTCCTTTGTGGCTGTTTGTTTACTTTTTAGTGTCCTTTACTGACTTTGTCCCATTGAATCCAAATTTCTTCCTGATTACAGTGGATTCAAAGCATATTACAGGAAGCCTTTACCTATAAGAAAGTAGTTAAAGAATTACAGTTTTGTTTTAACATGTGAGATATTCCCACAGCCTCACAAAAGTTTGTTCTTTCACTGCATTTGTTTCTTTTTTTGATTACTAGAAAGTATATATATATTTAAATACTTGAGGAAATACTCTTGAGCCTCATTATACAGGAGGCAGTTTCTGAGAACTGCTTCTCCTTCCCTAGAAACTAAAAAACAAAAACCATGGTCTTTGCTGAAAGCTCTCATATTTTTCATTTCAATGCACACAGCTCCAGTAACCAGGTCACAGAAAAAGCCACGGACGCACACGCACACACAGCAGCGTCACCTGCACAATTCAACAGACAATGCAGACAAACTTGAGTATAATCCAAGATCTTTCTACCTCTTTTCATAACAGGTTAGTGCTCGCCCTCAGTGTTGGTGTACAGTTTTTATGGCATGGGAAAATAGGGATGTTTCTGCCCTACAAAAATAAATGCGTTGAATGCTTTAGTTTGAACTTTCACAATGTTAAAAAAAAAATCCAAAGAAACTGGATAAGTAAAAAGAATCCCATATATCAGGAAATCAGTGGATCTTTTGGCAGGTGGCAAGAGAATGCCCACAGCAAATTTACCAGCCTTCATTTTTTCACCTTCATGAAATATCTTTTGAAAATTATATATTTAAAAAAAAATCAGTTCTTGTAGTCCATTAGCAAAAAGAAATCCCAATCAAACCTTTGCACATCATCAGCATGAATTCTTTGGTCCTGAAGAAGCTGTGCTAGACATTAAGGAAGATGGGAAATTATTACTGTTTGTTTTTCCCTGTGCCAAATTAAAAAAAATGGGATAAACTCTTTTTTAGTAAAATAAAAAGGAGACAGGAAGGAAATCCAATGTATTCAAACTGTGTCAGACTTAGTATTTTGGGAGGCACCAGAAAAAGGAACAACATCAAGTAGGTTTTCACAGATTCTTTACTACAATTAAAAAAAAAAAAAAAAAAAGTGAAGAATGTCATGCTTCCTAATGCAAAAAACATGGCTCCCAAAGGTCCGTTCCTCTGTGTGTGACTATTGAGGTCAGTGGGAAAGGGACTAGGGAGGAGGCGTTGTAATGAAAGCACGTTATAAAGCTGTCATTCCTAGGAAAATTCACAAACAGTGATAAATACGCTTTTAACTGTCATGTTAGAGAAGCAAAAAGGGAAAGCAGGGATCGGTGAGGGGGAGGGGAGAAGGATGTCCCATCAGGTTTACTAGTCTTCCGAGGCAACAAACTTACCACATTGCGTGTGAATTTCTCAAAAGATGTTCGACGATCCAGAGTGTTTTCCAACTTAAATTTAAAATAAAAAAAAAAAAGAAACAAAAAGAAAAAGGAGGGAAAAAAGAAAAGCAAGAAAAAATGGAGTAGAAAAGAAGGATTGATGAAACAATGGACTGCAAAACAAAGTTTGTATAAATCAGGAAGCAAACACAGGTATGAAGCTGTAATGGGACTCTGCAAAACAGGGGATGGGCAAAGCAGATATAGTATTTGACCAAAATCATTTTTCATGGGGATCAAACCTGTTTGCTTTAAAAGAAAAACTGAAAATAAAAAGAAATAATGAAGTGCACATCTTGTGTTAATGAACTGACATTCACAAACTTAAGGACTTCACACGGACAGTTGTAGCTTTCTGGTATTTTCAACATCTCTCTCTATATTGGATCTTCAGAAATCAATGATTGAACAAAAAACAAAATCACACAGTACTTTCATATATCTTTAGGTTGTCATTATAAACAGTAGAATGCTACGGTGTTAATAACTAGCTCGTTCCGGTAACGATGGGGGCCCTGATTTTGCAGGTACAGGGCTCCCAGTTGATTCTAGGAGATCGCTATTTAGAGCCCACTAATGAAATTATTTATCATTATAGAAATCTGCATTGCACAAGCTGCTCCACATACTCTGGGCTGTGTCTATTCAGAACTCATTCCATAATCTGGATTTTTCTAAGCAAATATTACATACCAAGACATGAGCCTCTTTTTGCAGAAGTGTGACATGATCAGTCTTTCAAGTCAGATTCCTAGCCTACTCAAAACTATTCA